GCAACAAGGGAAGAAGCGAAAACCAACATTCGTTTCCTCGCTCACCCCTCCCCGTCCCTCGATACCTCCCTCCTCTTTCCTTCTGCCGCTTCGCTGGAATCACTGGCCCCTCTCTATTCGTCCGTCCCTCCACTCTGCGCGTCCCGGGGGATCCCTTCTGATATGCACGATGGGGAACCAATTCTCCGCATTCTCTAGGGGACAGATTTTATTAGGAATGAATGAATCTCATTAAACCACGCGGTATCTGTTCCCCTACGCCGAAACTACGGATATGCAACATCACCCTTGATAAGACCATTGTAAGATTAAAATAGCAAGCCCAGATCACAACATGCAAAGTCGATGATGGCGAAAGTTGTCAAATGACTCAACTCGAGTAACTACTTCTTTACACCCACCCCAATACCTGATTGTAGTTGAGATGTGTTCCAACGGAGGGTTTCGCTCGAATTGAGGGGGTGGTGGCTATTCGAGTTTGAGACCTGCAGGGTGGTGCCTACTGCCTACCTACTGAGGAGAGAGACGACAATCCGACGAAGGCCGAGGAGTGAAGTGGTACAACGAGAGCTGCCAACGTTGAGTCGTCGGTACTTCACTCAAGGTCGAAGATGGTCGAGGACACAGTGTGCTCATGAGAGCCAATCAGCTGAAGCATGACCCTGGAATCCAGCAATCAATGACGAGAGGACCCCGCTGAAGGACGGAGCTTAGCTTGGGTTTCTCGCTGGGCGCCTAACACGTTTCGGGCTCCTGTCTGGAATTTGAATCCAAGAGAGATCTGATCGGTCTCTATTCTGACAGGTCGACGACGGAATTACAATTGCGGGCCGATCCAATCCGGCGCGGAAGCATTGACTGACACTATTCCATTTCAAGGGTCCTTTCTAGATGATAATAGGTTGTGGCGGTTGTAAGTACGAAGTTGAGCATATAAGCCTGTGTTTACTTCGTACATGTTTGAACAATATCAAAATGGAATTTTGCCGCAACGTGTCGGCTCCCAGAGACATAGAAAACCGTGATCATATCCCGAAACCCTCCTTTGTACGCTTTTCCCAACATTATGTCACATCTTGTGGTATGGTATCCAATATTGTCCTCCGCAAACCTTTGCAAAGACTCCGCTCGAAATAGCGCCGCGATGATAGAAAAAAAAAAAAAAAGAAGAAAAAAGCTATAAACAAAAAAGAGCAAACAGAGATTGAAGCGCCGAGGGACCGTCAGTAATCGGCACCCCAAGTTTGAATCAGCTTCGAGTCGGAGAGATCCAGGACCATGCCAAAAATACTGCTGCTCTCTTCCGAAACACCGTACTGCACAGTTGAGGCTTCCGGAAGTCCCACCGACGGCCTCAAGTCGTCCCACCACGTACGGAGGACCTCCTCCTCCCAGGCTCTCACGTCGACACGTTCGGCATCTTCCCCGAGTGTGTTGAGAAGGGTATGCGCCATGAATGGCGATAGCCTCAGTTGGTGATACAGCCATCGGTGTATAAACGCCGAGGTGTTCTTTCGCGGCATGTCCGTGAAGATGCGATCCAGGAACACTTCCTCCTCCGCATTGTCCACCAGCGCAGGTTTTCGTTTGTCGCTCTCGGGTAGATTTTCCGCGTTTTCGAGTGCCTCGCCGGGGAGGATGGGGAAATCTCCAAAGAGATGAGGTTCTTGCGCGAGCAGGCGTGGGAACACGGGGCGGGCAATGGTGTGAGAATAATCTTCTGGGTTGTCAGGTAGATCCATATCCTCTGCCAACTCCGGGTTATCTCTATCGCCTGGGAAGAATTTATGGAGCAGGTAAACCATCTGGAAGGAGAAATGCTTCCGCTTGATGCCCCTCTCTTTACATAGGGCTTTCAAGTGATAAACTCTCGCCTGACATTCGCGTAGATCCTCGGCCCGCTGTCTCTCGTCTTCTGAGAAATTATCCAAAAAGTCCACCTCTTCTTCGTCCAGTCCCGTGACCTCTAAATGCTGAGTGATGTTTATCTTGCTTTCAATGGCCTGTCTGGCGGCCTGAAGCTCATGCCAGCTCTCCTGCGCTAGTCCAAAATCACCGATGGCGGATTGGAATTCTTCATACAGAGGATGGATATCTTCCAGGGGCTTGTCTCTCGCGATGCCCTTTAGCTCGAACGGCACGTCTTCCTCCTTGGCGCCCTTATCGTTTTTCTGGACGGACGAGGTGCCGATTCCTTGATCGTCGGAAACACCTTGCTGTTGAGAAAGAACCGCGAAGAACTGCATCTCCAGGCCCACAACTTCTTGCTCGAGACGGTCCACAGCTAGCTCCTGCGCTTCGTAGTTAAGCTCCAGTGTGCCGTACTCCGACCATAGAGCTTGGGCACCAAGAAGGCTTTTCTCCAAGTTGTTTCTCAGCCTCGGCAGGAGCTGGCGAATAATTGTCAACATCTTATTGTCAGCCTCGATTCTGCGGCGCCGCAACTCTTGCAAGGCTAAACGGTCCTTGACCATATCCTGCCTTACTTCGTACAGATTCTGTCGCTTCTGTCTTAGATTTGTCCACAATTTTTGAATTTCATGGCCCGCCGCCTGCTGTGGAATTGTCTGGCTCGTTGTCTGGGCAGATGGGGCCATCCGCCTTTGTTCTTCGAGCTGGGCTACAGTATTTGCAATCGAACGGGTCATGTCGATCTTGGTCCTAGATCTCGAACGCGAAGGTCTAGTTTTACGATGCCGGGCCGGATAAGTTGGTGGGAATTGGGCTGATTCACCGTTACTACTAGAGTCGTCGTCGCTCGAAGCGTGTTCGTAGGGGAGACGAATTTTTCGCCGAAGGGGTGCGACCCTGCGTGGTGTGGGACATTGTATGGGTCTTCCATTCGCGGTCAAACCCACATCACGACCTGGAGATGACGGCGGAGGAGGCGGCCGTTTGTGTTGGCTGCCTTGAGAGTTTGGCGGCCGGGTAATATGAGACTTGGCGTCTGAGGCAGAGAAGTCGGGAGGTTGCGGAGTCGAGGAAGGGATAGGAGGAGGAGGAGGAGGGTCAGGAAGTTGTGGAGTCGAGGGAGGGAGCGGAGGGGGAGGGGGAGGAGGCGGTTCTGGTGTTTTTTGTCGACGTGGCGGACGTGGTGGCGGCGGAGAGTAGGTCGAGGCTCGAGGAGGAGGTGGAGGAGTCTTCTTTGGGGGAGGTGGTGCTGGAATTTCGGAATCGACTAAGTTCCGTGGGGATGAGCCCGAGCGAGGTCGCGAACGAGGCGGTGGGGATGAAGGTGGATTGGGATTTTCCTGATGAGGTCCCCTGCGACGTGGTGGTGGTGTTTTGGCAGCCGGGGGAGCCTTCTCGTGAGGACGTGGACGTGGTGATCGTCGAGGGGGGGGAGAGTCTCGAGATGTCGGAATAGGTAGGTCATGGTTTCTGCGGGTATCTTCTGGGGCGCAAATTGTCGCGGCGTCGTCGTCCGAGCTGGGATCATCTTCAGGCCAAATGGGGTGATTGAAATCAGGCGCGACCTTGTTCAGAGATGTCATGGCAACCGGTGCTCTCGACATTAAGTCAGTCATGACGGCGCCCGGGGGTCATGGCGAGCGAGGCAAAGATTCATCCAAAGTGCCTCATCAAATATTAAAGGGGTACCAAAGAACAGAAGGGAAAGTGTTTGATAGTTATGCGGAACGTAGGATATCACTGAGCTGAGGTTGAAGAAGCGTGTGAGCGACGATAGCTTCGAGCTTAGATTGATGCTTGGGATGTGGAGAAGTGAGGCGAAAGTCTTAGCGTCTTCGATGATTGGCTTCGAGCTCTCCTTGTCCTCACGTTCCAACTGCCATTGATAACATGAGGCGGCAGGTGGGTCCGCGCTAACCAGAGTTATGGTTCCACCCAACCGAAAGGTGGACTTGCCAAATTAAAAGATATTTAAACCTCAGGCATAAAGCCTTCTCTTCGCCTACACAGTACATAATCTTATCCACACTGTAAGAAGCAACGACGGAGATCAGTCTTCTTGTATCCTCGACTTCGCGGTGCCACCCCGCTTTGTACCTGGTAAACCCAAGTGCAGGAAACTTGGACTTTCCCCATATCAAGTTGAAATCCAATGAACTCGGCCACTCGTCCCGCATCTACTTCGTGTGCTTCTTTACGATCCTGCGAAGGCCCATTCATTCGGCGAATCGTGTTACTCTGCCTACGCAGGCTCCGCTGTAACGTCTCTCTGTACTTACTTTACTTACTTCGTAGTGTAATAAAATCTATACAATCATTCCTCTTGCCCGTAGCCTTCTCCGAGTAGGACTACCTCGTCTTTTACCCACCCCCCCAAAACCCTTTTTATCCCCCTCACCAAGGCTGCTTTGCTCGCGGGAACGACTTGAGTCACCAGCAACGCCGCCATCGGGATTCCTTGCACTGCGTTATCGCTTCTCCTGCACCCTCCTACCTAACGATCCAAGAAATCCCAGGCGCATCTCCAATCTGCTCGAACCCGAGCCTTGCAGGAACGCTGCACAGTTCAGCACGAGATACTCGCAGTGTTTCCCTCGCGCTTCTTCCCTTATTCTTCCCCCCCCCCACCTTGGACAGACTCCTTTCCCCTCCCGGCATGGGCACCCGATGCACCGAGGGATGCCCAACTTTAGCCGTGAGCAATTGAGGTATAATCTCACTTCAAGAGCGTCAACATTTTTTTTTTCTATCACACTCCTCTAGACCTGCTGTCCGGTGCCTCCTTGTGGCTAACAATTATTCTAGCCGGTCTTAGACTACCACCTTACCTTCCAAGTCAAGGACTTTACCTATTCTCGGTTGATCGACTTTCAAGATCCGTCTACACTCCTGGTACATTCGGATTGGTTTCCAGTCAACGACCCTCTCTTGGGAAAACCCCTCCGCTGTATCCACACGTCAGATAACGGACGTTCCATCTCGCTGGCTGGGAAACGACCTCTATTCCCATGCTTTCTCGGTGCCGTATCGTATTCTTGGAACGGATAAACATCGAGACAGTTTTATTGTAAAGCTGCGACTATGAAGAAATGAGGAAATCTTCATATATGAAAGGGAGTGTTGGGTGGAGTGCTTGGGGGGGTTGGGTCTGGTCGAAAACGTACAACCGATATTATCGTCAGCGCCAGGACAGCCTAGGTAGGGTATTCGAAGTTACCAAACGTCGTGGTCACTCGTCATCAGAATGGCATAAACAGCTAACACAACATGTGTACCCATGACTAGGTAACATCGAGACCGAGTGGGGCCCTGTCTACGACGAATCGAGCGATGATGGTGATGATGTTCCACGGCAACAAAACGAGGATGAGGTCAATGATGTCGCTGAACAGTTAGGGAATGCTGGTTTAGAGTCAGGCGAGGAAGATGCCGAATCAGATGATGACCAGGATCGTAAGTACCTTTCATCATCGTCCTCCCCGGCCCCCTCTGAATATGTTGTGTAGCTCTGTCACTAACATAGCACTTAGCGGAGTATAACATCTCTTCTTCAAGCCATGCCCAGAGTTCAAGGACGGAAAAGACCAAGAGAGAGAAGCGAGAGAAAGAGAAGGTGAGATCTAAAGGGAAGAGCAGAGAGGATGAAAGAGAAAACCCAAAAGATAAGCATCGTAAGACCAAGGGCAAAGGTACGGACAAGAGGAGCAGTAAAACCAAGGCCAAATCTCCGAAAGAAGGAGAACCAGAGAAGGACAGGAAAGGAAAGCGACGGCAGCACCGCGACGGATCAGATGATGAGCCTGACGAAGACGGTATGCTCTCTTCCCCTTCCAACACCTGCTACGTTTTACCCACCCCATTAGCGCTACCTGGCTAACCCACACCTCATAGACGCGGGATATGGCGACTACCCAGACTATGGGCAGAGTAGGCATCATGGGCACTACTGTGACGAGATCAAACTAAAGGCTAACTGCGATTGCTAGGGTCGACGGAAGGATATCCCGCATTCGACCACACAGGTGAGTAATTCTACCCATTCTCATCAATCGACCTAGAATGAGCCTCCTTAGGTCTGTTCGTACTAACAGAAGTTCAGAGGGCGGCTCCTTTCCACAACAACAAGACGACCATGATGACGGGAACGATGATGGGAACGATGACGAGGATGTGGGAGCCGACTTTCCCGAGGAAGAGATACGGAGAGCAATGAACGCTAGTCGGCAGCCAGGAAGAGCAGGGGGGCCCTCTACTGGAGAATATCCACGTATGTATCTCAGCTCCGTTAACTCTTGGAGAAAGATGTTTCTAACATGATATGCGAGCCACAGCTTCCGAAAGTATCAAAACGGATCATGATCATATTGCAGGCGGTTCTGAGCTTGAGACCGTAGATCCTCGTATGAAACCCACCCACCCATTTCATACGGCCAACATTGAGAAGTGGGTAATTTCTAATCTTGGCTCGTTTAAACAGGTTACAAAGTCGAGCCGTCCCACAAATTCCAGCCTGGGGAGGTTTGTTCGCCTCCATCTGTGTCTTTGATGAGCAGTCTGCTAAATCCCAGTGCAGGTTTTCAAAGTCTTTTGGCCAGAGCCCACCGGGGAATCAGGTCATAAAGCGCCTTCGGTTTCTGAGAAGAGAGAAGTATCGGATTTCTATCGCGGCAGAGTCTACGCTGGTTACAGACGATTCGTCGTGATAGGCAATGACTTCGGCCATTGCACTTGCGTGTAAGTCGAGCTTCTACTCAACGTGTAATTTCCCAAGAATCACGCATGGCACAGAGACAGCTGACTGATTATGTCTAGCCCTATCTTTACATATGGAGGCCAAGCGTGCAGGAAGCGAGGAGTCAAGCCCGAAAAACACGGAATTGCCCTCCAACTTGGCCACAAGCCAAGACTTGTACCTGGTGAGCCTAGGCCCGGCATGCCGACTGTCAAAGTCAAAATGCTCGCCGAAGGCGAAGGGCTTGCCTGGCAATCGCGTATAAACTACTCGAAGCTGATCACCGTTGAGCATAACGTCAAGGTGTTCTTCATCGGTAGAATAGTCGACGAAGACTACGATTACGTTTACGATTCCGTCAATAGGTGTTGGGAACAAAAATCCTTCCGCAGAAAGAGGCACTAGAGAAACCCTCGCCTCTGAATAAGGATGGGCCATTACTGTCGGGTCCCTCTGCAACCTTTCCACGTTCGCCGCCCGCATTCCACGCGTGCGGTTTTTTTAGTGGTGTCTGTTGGGCTCTCGAGCATGAGGCTCAGAAAATCAGAACCACGACACACGATTTATTACGATTTACACACACATATATACGTTGGGCAAGCGGCCGGGGCTATTCCGGTAGCTTGCCGTCAGCCTCTTGATGGCATTTCCGCTGTTCTTTCCCAAGACAGTGACCATCATTTCATCCCCGCGGCTCCTCTTTGAGAAAGATACTCTTGGCCATGAACCTAATGGCCACCGATAACACCAAAACATCCTTGAATGTGTCAGCCGCATTTCGGCACGGCCGAGGATGAGATTTAACGATATTTTGCACCTCGGCTGGTTAGTTTTGCACATCATCCTCGATCAAGCGATATATCTCCAGGTCCAGGAAGACTGACAGACTACGGCCGTAGGTTTATGATTAATACGGCATCATTCCCTCTTCATATTGTTGTTCTCATCTATCTCTCTATGTCTTTGTCAATCTAAATCTAGCACACGATGAGTCGTTCATTTCCCTGATATCAGGGTCACGTTTCCTTGCTTTTTTACCGTTCCCCTGGCATGATGTTTATACGATTTCTCTATACTTTATTACTTCTTTTGTTCTTGTGTCTTTCTTTTTTTTTTTTTTTTTTTTTCTTTTGGAGCATGCTCAATATCATAATGGAACCCATCTTCCTCCATCACTTCTCTCTTTCTTTTCCTCCCTTTTTCCCTCTTCCTTTTATGGGGGCGCTACGGTCTGACGAGACTGCTTTAATGTTGCCAATCTTTCTACTGTTTTCCCTTCACATCTCTTTTCAACAGTCAAGCATCATTAAGTTTCATAGATATCTTAAATTGTGCATCTGGATATGCTGTGTCTTGGAATAGTCTAGAGGTTAACTTGACTGTGTCGTTCTCATGCCCATTGATGTTTGTGATCCTAGTGAGGTTGAGATTTACAGAGGACAGAAAGTAATGAGAATCAATATTGATCAAATGAAGAATTGGGCAGACAATTACTTCGTCATTCAACAGAAGTGAGACTTGGAATTGTCACTATCTGATTGCAACCTTGATGAAGCCCGTCCATCGTCGTCGGTTCCCCTCAATCTTGATGACTAAACATCTCCTCTGGCTGTGCCTCGGTACATCCCACGGAGCACCTTCCGTCATGGGACGTCGTCATATCACCATTGCTGGGACCTCCGAAAGAGTAGAAAGAAGCCGAGGGATCTTGGGGTAGCTCCGTGCCTTAGCTTCTACTAAAACCTACTTGCGCCAAGCATACCTCTTTATCGCCGTCGCTGGTGGAAGCACATAAAGTCCGGGGAAGTTCGATGCAATTGTAACCCACCGGAGAGTTGTCCCCACCCTTTCTTGTTGACGCAATTCAGGAACCTCCATATCTTGATCGATTCCCCCTTCTCAAATCTAGAAAATTTCCAATTTCTTTTGGTTGATTCGAAGTAAAGTACAGCTGCAGTCTTGTCTTATCCCCACTCCGCCGATCATGTCCGACGTAGATCTCCACGATTTCCCTTCCCTCTTCTCCCTCAAGGGCAAGGTCGCCGTCGTGACTGGCGGCTCTCGAGGTCTCGGTCTCCATGCCGCCTCAGCGTAAGTCAACCCCATATACTCTTCCCTCAATTACGCATGAATTGCAGCCCGGGGAAAAAGAAAAAAAGAAACCCAAACATGGCAAACCAGCTAAAACCTTGGATAATCACACAGCCTCCTCCAAGCCGGCGCCTCCAAAGTCTTCATCACATCCCGCAAAGCCAAAGCCTGCGAAGAAGCAGTCGCAGCCCTCAACGCGCTCCCCAACAAAGCCCCCAACGCCATCGCCATCTCCGTCCCCGCCGACGCCTCCAAAGAAGCCGGCATCGCCCACCTCGTGCGCGAAGTCTCCAAGCACACCGACCACGTCGACATCCTGCTCGCCAACGCGGGCGCCACGTGGGGCGCGCCCTTCGATTCGCACCCGGACGAGGCCTTTGCCAAGGTCATGGACCTTAATGTTAGGGGCGTGTTTAATACCGTGAAGCTGTTCGCGCCGCTGTTGCAGAAGAACGCTACGGCTGAGGACCCTTCGAGGGTTGTTGTTACGGCTAGCGTGGCGGGGTTGGGTGTTGGAACGTTGGGGAAGCAGGGGACGTATGGGTACTCAGCTAGTAAGGCTGCTGTCCTTCATTTGGCGAGGAATCTTGCGCTCGAGTTGGGGCCAAGGCACATTACTGTTAACTCGATTGCGCCGGGGTTCTTCCCTAGTAAGATGGCTAATGGGTTGCTTGCGCTTTCGGGCGGCGCGGATAACATTGCCAAGAAGAATCCTCTTGGGAGGCTTGGTAGACCGGAGGACATTGCTGGCGTTATCGTCTATCTTACGAGTAGGGCGGGCGCTTACATCAATGCCGAGGTGATTGCGCTGGATGGTGGTAGCCTCTGGGATAGGGGCCAGCTCCAAGTGGAACCTAAGCTCTAAAGAGCCAATGTTCTATATCCTGTACATTTAAATCACATAGGAACGGGAAAGGCTTGGTAAATCTGAAATGAGTTCAAGCCACAAGGATACAAGTACTGCCTGAGATCTTCGGATAGTTTGACATGGCGATTCGCTGAACTCCTCTAAGCCCGCCCCATTCTATCACCCTACTATCCCATGAACCTATGGATGCGACGGAAATACCTCCCTTGAAATCGCGCCCCCACATCATAATCACGAAAGGAAAGAAAAAGAAGAAAATTACAGTAGATGAAGAGAACGAGAGTGCATCCCCCTCAAATCATTCCCGAAAGCAAAAGGAGCAAGGATGGTGCGCGGATGCTGAATTTATAGCGGCTTCCGGGCTACCCACGTGCTCGCACGATACACCGTCTTCAACATGGAATCAGCATCGTGGATGTAAGGCGCCTCGACGCCCATCTCCCTCGATTCAACAACAAAGCCAAGCTTTTCAACGAGCGCCATGACCTCATCGTCCGCGAGTTCGAAACTTCCGGGGTCCGCGATACCTGAAGAGTTCTTATAGTCATGTTCTCCATCACCGTCATCATCGAGCCCGTGATTACCGGGAGCATGATTCTCGAAATGCCAGAGGAGGGGTCCGACATTTATGAGAATGCCACCGGGCTTAAGACAACTGAAAATGACGCCAAGGTAGCGGATCAGGTTCGGAGCGGTATCGAGGAAGAACACGGCCGCCACGGCGTCGTAGTGCTCCCGGTGTTCATGGTCGCCGTACAGACAGAGGAAATCAGCAGCGGTCATGGACATTGTTCCAATGTTGCTGGATTGCATTAGGGCCGTGCCCGGGTGGATGTCGGGTACGCTGTATCCTCGGAGGTGGTTCTCTCTCGTTTGATGGTTAGAGAAGGCGTGGATCCAGGGGTATATAGTGTGTTTTCCCGCCCGTTCGCAAAAGTTGAGGATGTAAGAAGATGCGAGGAGTTGGTGATACGATATCTCGTTTCCCTCAGCATGATACCCGTTTTTTGCAAGGTCAAAGACCAGTCGGCCGAGACCAGCTCCAGGAACTAGGACCCTCAACCCCGAGTTCTCGGGAGCCCTAGCCCTTTCCTTTTCCAAGGCGCGCATGACGGGACCGTAAGACTTTTCCCTCTCCGACGCGCCCTCAGCAGACCAGTCCCGGAAGAACTGCCGTAACGTACTCCTCGCCTTGTCAATGTCGCCGTGCTTAGCAACGCCGACCCATTCCTGCGGCATGGATACATCGTCGGCCTCGGGATTCTGCGAGGGGTCATTGAAGGAATGGAGACCATGCTTCGCGATGGCCTTGGCGAGGTCGGCGTTTATGCCTATCGCATCATCCACCTTGCTTAGCGTCTCTAGGAAGTTGAAGGGAGGTGCCGCGAGCATCTTCCACTGAGCATCGGGGAGGGCATAGAAGGATTGCCTCCGGAGATGCGTGACGTTGAAGCGTGCTACCTTTTCATATTGCCTGTAAGATTACGTTAGCCCCTGCGGTGATATTACATGCCGAATGGGCTAGTGATGGGTCGGTATCATCTGGACCATATCGGAGTTGAGCCCATCTCAGACGAGTTTGAGTGGAGGGTTCTGGTGGGGCAGGACTTTTCTCGAGCTTTTTTTTGTTGAAGTTGAGGAGGGGTTCAGACTCACATATAAGAGTCCAGAGCAGTAAAGAGCACCCTCAGCTCTTCCGGGTCTTCGAGAGGATTGTCCACTTCATCCCACTCATGCCCGTTTGCCATATCGATGCGAAAGTATGAAGCTATCCGCGGCTGACGATTGGAATTAGTATTAAACGAAGATTGGGTATGTTTGGAGAAGTGAGACTGTTTGGGTAGGTGATCTGTTGATCTTTCTAATGGTGGTGGCGCTGTGGCAAGAGCTGCCGTCTTGGTGGGGTGTTGCCCATCATTATTGTTGTCTTGCCGTCGCGGGGTGCTTATCGCGCTGGGAGACATGTTGAGGGAGGGCGGGGGATTGTTAATTGGTGAGCAAGATGTCACAAACGGGGGGGATCGAATTAGGATTCAGGAGTGGCTTGGAAGAGGAAATTGTCATAGCGGAATTTGGGATTGAAGTCGATATCAGAATAACTATATTACTTACACCTTAGGATATTACCTTTTCTTTATTTTCTATTTTTAATCTTCAGAAATGAATACTTCTACTTTTACTCTCTATTGTCGAAAGATGAATTAACGATATTTTTATAAGAATATTATTATACAAAATTTAAAATATATTGACAATTCCCCATGGAAAGACGAGAGATCTGTGAAGATTTCTCAATGTTGAAGTGGGCATCGAGATACCCCACCACATCAATTAGCCCTAAATTTGCCGCAGGGAGTATCCACTTTGGCTTGACTCTCACTGCAAGGCAAGAGCAGCTCAGGCCTCGCACATGCAAGCAAACAAACGGGAGACCCAGCTTCACTCCATGCGCACGGAGCCTTACTCGCCAGGCCCGAAGCACTGAGACATTTGGGTCCCTCACGGAGAGTGCTCGGCTGACTTCAGTGTTGTCTAGAGCTCGGAATCTTGAGTTGAGTGCTCCAAGCCCGATACAACGAGAGCTAGCTTTAGCGAGGTCGAGTATACAGTCAACTTGCTCAAGACCCGCCATATCGAGAACTCCAGCGGCTTAGTCCCTTTTCTCGGTTTTCTCAGCGCCCTAACTTCGTTGTTTTCTACGCAGGAGGGACTAGCGTAAAGCATTGATTTACACATCCACCCACTTGGTTCTTCAAAAGAGCGAGCCGGCTCCTCGGTCCTCGAAGGAGACCACTTGTACAAGATGACGGGCCACACAAGTGAAGTTATCGAGCTCTCGTTCCCGCTGCCTCGGGCTCTAGATACTCGCATATACGCGCACTTGACTATCAGAGAGAAATCCATCGTCGTTTTCGTCACCACATCTACCACGGATGATCTCTCAACCCCTCCTTCCATGGGCTCATTTGTCTATGCCATTCCAGATGCAAGTCGTCTCCCTTCAAAGCACAGGTTCATGTCCTTTCTCGAGCTCATTCTAACACGCCTTACAGAAATTCAATCCTAACCAACCCATCTCTACTCCCATCTATACCCAGGAGTCGAATCTGGAGTTTGCTACGCGCATAGCCAAGCTGCTGGCCAGAAAGACTCAGCTCCCCACCTACGTCGGAAGCTCGCTCAACCTGTCCAACATGGGAATGGGCGGAACCCCCGAAGAGGAAATGGAGGCGTTCAAAAAGGTCATTGACGTAATCCTCTCCAAGACACAACACATACTCAAGCCTTCTGATGCTACTTCGGTAGCGAATGGCCCTTCCTCTTAGATGCAGAACAGAATTTTGCTGCCTTTGATCGAGGAAGGTTGATACGCAACTAGGCAGCGTCCCTTCCTCGGGATAATAACGAATGTCAAACTGTCAAACAACCGTGGCCCCACCAATAATGGCCCGCCGAACGGTGAATACGTCAGCCACCTGCTGCGCGATCCAACGGTGTACAAAGGCATGAAGCCGGGTTACACTCTTTTGAGATCGCGTAGATTGGGCCATAGTAGGAACTAGAGGTGGCAGTGGGAGGTCGATACCCAGGCGGTGAAAGAATGGAGCGTGTTGCTTTGCTGGCAGAGGATTTGATTACGACAAGGAACGCCTCGTTTCTGTTTGCCCTGTCCTTCTCGAAGCAAACCAAACATGTTCATGCCTTTACACATCCACTTCCCAGCCGGAGCAGAGCTTTCGATTTTGGCATGGGCCGGTATGAACAAAATCGAGCGGTCTCGACATAGGGGAGGGTTCAATGGTGCCCATCCTGGATTTCGAGACCCTCGGTCGGGAAGGTCTTTTCTTACAACACGATGAATAAATCTCATTCCCTAAAACCATGACCATTCACGGCGGAGATGCATTTCTCCTAGCTAGGTAGGAATTACCATGTTGCCTTGTATGTCTTCCAAGGGATTTGTGCATCGTGCCAAGGTAGGCCTCCTTGAGAGTCGGTTCCCCTTCGCCGGCCTCCGAAGCCAAGCCGTTCATAATTTCTCAACGCCCCGAACAGTGACGCAGTCGTTGGGGATTGGGTAGTACAGGCACCCGTCAGACACTACGACGTCGAGAAAGTTTGAAATAGCTGGTGCTGAAAATTAAGGAGGCTGTTTTGAGCAAACAGAGACTGGAACTCCTGACAATGTAAGTGGGAAGGGTGCTCGCCTATGCGACGGGCCGCTGGTAGCAAGAGGATGGCGCCATGATATGGCTTTCTTGGAGGGCAACTCTGATGAAGCTGGACGAATCTTTCTCAAGTATTTTATTCTCCAAGTACTAACGGAGAGCCATGGTGGCCTAATCATATCAAACTTGGTGGTGGCCTGGGACCCCGTGACAGCAATCGGTGAGATGATCCCGTTGTGCCATGTGAGCTGTTTAGCTCCTACACCACGACACCAGCTGAATGACTGGCTGCGAGCTGTTAACACGGCCGATGCGAAGGGGCCGGTGTAGGAAGAAGGTCGACCTGATTCGATTCATACAATGTATCTTGGTCTGTGATGGAGTTTTGGCGCTGAGGCTGAGCCACGAAGTTTGGTCGCTCACAGAAAATGGCGTTGCGTTTGGTATGAAGATAACGGTTAGAAGCATAGAAAATGAAGTTGAAATATATCAACGTCTATGCAGCTGTAGAGTCTGGGTTGATGTCACTGGTAATACAGGTACATGGGTACCTCCGCCACATGGTCCACTCATATGCCAGAACCCCTCCATCTCTGAATCAGTAGTGGGGAAGGAGCGAAAAAAAAACGTGAAAGTAAAAATCAAGAAGCTGCGACAAGGGCAAAAATGGCCTGGACCAACCCCGCCAAATCCGGGTTCGAGGAAGCAAGCACTGACCCTCGACCCTCGTCCTTGTCCTCGTCCCTCGCCCGCCCTCGCCCCAAGCCACGCGCACTCACTCGAACCGACTGAGATACACTCTCCAAACACCAGAGCAGTTGAGAGACTCCACCCACTTACTTCACAGTTAGTGGTTTCCCCCTCCATCGTCGCACCTCCACTAAAATTATCGCCTGCTAGTCTAATACTGCCCATATTTTTTTTTGCGGGAGGAAGGACCCTGCTCCTTCGATCTTTGCACCTTCCACCGCTACTTCAAGGAGGCATTGCCAGATGTAATTGGCCTTCTCGCAGAATCCCTTCTTCTTCTCTCCTTTTCAAACCACCTCTCTTAGAGCTGTACGTCTGTCATTGCCTCGAACCCCGCCTTTGGTCGAAGAGTTCATCCTCCCTCCCACCCCCCCCCCGCCTTTTGCGCTGTTGCTCGCCAGTCGCCACTGACACACAAGTTGCAAGCTAGCTGGCGATGACTACCTGGCAGCCAAATCCCGAGTCCCTCAGCCAGCTTTGCGGCTACCTGAGGGACTCCCTCAGCGGATACGATAAAAATGCTCAGAAGCAAGCAGAAATGGTGCGCCAACCCTCTCCCTCCCTCCCAGGACTTGCATCCATTCCCTCTTCTCCAAAAATCCCAAGATGGACCTCTAGTGGTCAAGAACACCCCTCTCGCTTTGCGCGCACCCAACATTCATCATGCGCATACTGACGGTTTTTTTCGCGATGCCTGTTCCCCCGAGAATAGATGCTTTTGCAGGCGAGAAACTCGCCCGACATCAACAATTACCTTGCCTACATCACTTCCAATCCCGAGCTTCCCTCCGGCGTTACAATGAACGCCGATTCGTGGACCATGGTCCGATCCTCTTCCGCCGTCATGCTCAAGAACAATGTCCGATCCAACTATAAGCAGATCCCGCCCGAGAGCCTGGCATTCATCAAGCTCGCCGTCATCAACGCTCTCCAAGACAAGCATGCTTGGATCCGCAACCACATAGGAATCGTCGCAACAGAGCTCATCAAGAGAGGAGGTCTCTTGGCTTGGCCCGAACTGCTACCCACCCTCATGGGTATGTGGTCGAACGAGACGGGTCAGTTCTCCGATGCTGCGCAAGAGGGCGCCATGTCGGCCATGACCAAGATTTGCGAGGACAACCCAAAGATGCTTGACCGGGAACTGAACGGCCAACGGCCACTTAGCTTCATCCTACCCAAGCTCATTGAGGCAACCAAAAGTCCCCTGGTGAAGGTCCGGACACAAGCACTTATCGCGATCAACGTATTCGTCCCGCGTAAGTCGCAGGCGATGCTGGACTCTGTCGATGACCTCCTGCAACACCTCTTCTTCCTCGCCACCGACGACAACACGGATGTGCGCCGACAAGTCTGCAAGGCGTTTGTGCAACTCGTTGATGCTCGACCCGACAAGCTGGAGCCCCATATCAGCGGACTCGTAGACTATATCCTGACGCAACAAAAAAGCGACGATCCGGACCTCGCCTTGGAGGCAGCTGAGTTCTGGCTTGCCGTTGGCGAACACGATCACTTATGGAGGGCGCTAGATCCTTACATCCATAAGATTATTCCTACCCTTCTCGAGTGCATGGCATACAGTGGCGAGGAAATTGCCCTTCTTGGAGGCGAGTCGGACGACGAAGACGAGGAGGATCGCGCGGAGGATATCAAGCCAGCCCACGCAAAGAAGTCTCAGGCAAGAAACTACACCAAGACCGGCGCTGGCCAAGGGGATTCCAACGGGGCCGAGGCAGGGAACGTGCCGTGGATGGATCAGGACGACCTTGAGGAAGGAGAAATTGACGAGTCCGACGATGACGAGAACCCCGAAGAACGGTGGACCCTTCGCAAGAGCTCCGCCGCGGCACTTGATGTGTTTGCGCGTGACTTTAAGAACCGCGTCTTTGAGTGCATATTGCCGTTCCTAACAAACAACCTGAAACACCCCGACTGGCCCTATCGCGAGGCTGCTGTTCTTGCTCTCGGCGCTGTATCCGAGGGTTGCATGGATGTCGTCTCCCCCCATCTTACCGAGCTTGTGCCGTATCTCATCACTCTGCTCTCCGACCCTGAGGTAGTAGTGCGACAAATCACTTGCTGGACATTGAGTCGGTACTCTTCCTGGGCCGCAAGTCTCCCGGACCCCGCTCAGAAGACCCAGTTCTTTGAGCCCATGATTGATGGCTTGCTCCAGCGCATGCTAGATCGGAACAAGAAGGTCCAGGAGGCCGCCGCATCGGCCATGGCAAATCTCCAAGAGACATCGGGCAAGCAGGTCGAACCTTATGCTGTCCCTATCATCCAACAGTTTGTAAGATGCTTTGGCAGTTACAAGGATAAGAACATGTATATCCTTTACGACTGCGTCCAGACTCTTGCCGAGCAGATTGGACCCGGTTTGGCGAAGCCGGAGCTTGTCAACGAGCTCATGCCTGCCCTCAACGCCAGATACCAAAAAGTCCCTGACGAGTCAAGGGAAATCTTCGCTCTTCTCGAGTGTTTGTCGTACGTTGCCGTGGCTCTTCGCGATGCCTTCGCCCCCTACGCCGAGCCCATCTTCCAGCGCTGCGTCAACATCATCCACATGAACCTCGAGCAGAGCATGGCGGCGACCAGCAACCCGGAGCTAGATCAGCCGGACAAGGACTACCTCATAACAAGCCTGGACCTCCTGAGCGCCATTATTCAGGCGCTAGACGGAGCTGGCGCTGCGGAGCTCGTGAACAGCACGAATGGCTCTCTATTCGAGCTCCTAGCGCTCTGCCTCGAAGATCTCACGGATGAGGTCAGGCAATCCGCATACGCTCTGCTTGGGGACTGCGCTAGATACGTCTTCCCCCAGCTCCAACCTTATTTGCAATCGGTGATACCAATGATCCTCAAGCAGCTCGACTTTGAGAGCGTGTTAGACGAGGACATTGACGGCAGTTTCGCCGTCATTAACAACGCGTGTTGGTCTGCGGGAGAGATCGCCCTGCACCACAAGAAAGGCATGGCTCCCTACGTGTCGGAGCTTCTCCAGCGCTTTGTAGAGCTCATGACGAACCCCCGCGTGCCGAGGAGCCTCGTGGAGAACGCTGGTATTGCTCTCGGCCGTCTCGGACTCGACAATGCGGAGCTGCTAGGTCCCTCGCTTCCCACCTTTTCCGAGGAGTTTTTGAATGCCGTCGAAGACGTAGACCCGAGCGATGAGAAGTCTACCGCGTTGAAGGGCTTCGCTTTGGTCGTGGGACAGAACCCGCAGGCTATGGAGAAGACGCTTCTTCAATTTTTCACCACTATTGCGAGATATGGTGACTCGCTCGGAACACTTGGGAGTCCCCTTAATAGGGAACTTCATGATGTTTTCCAACAGGTGAGTTGACGATCGCGCGCACACACACACACACACACACACACGCACACACACACACACACACACGCGCACACACACACACACACACTCTCTCTCTCTCTCTCTTAGCATTCTTGGCGAGTTTGATGTTTCCTAACCAATACTTTATCGGCAGGTCATTACCACTTATAAGCAAATGATTCCTCATTTCAACGACTTCCTCGGACAGATGCAGCCCGAGGACAGGCAAGCATTGGCTACGAGGTACACGGTCTAAAGAGATATAGCGAAGGAGAAAAATATGTCACTGGCAACAAAAGCATAAAGAGATGGAAAATAGGACGGGTCGAGCTGGGTATGGGGAGGAAAATAAAGAAGGAAAGAGAGGGAAAAAAAAGAAGAGAAGCATCAACTCAGCTTGTACCTTGCCTAAAACAGGAATGATATAGAGATATGGAAGGGTAATATCAGTAGTATGTGACATAGAAAGAGCATGGAAAGTAAGCAATTAGGGGTTCTCTACGGTAGCATCATGGAATAGCACAGTCTTCAGGGGGGTTGATATGGGGCAGGGCCTTCTTTCATTTTTTCCGCTTCTTCACTCTTTTCTTCTCTTCCTTTTTTTTACATTTCAAATGAATTAGCTTAGATTTCTGCATTTGCAACACTTCTGACATGTTGTCATTCCTGTTCATCCATCTTCATCTTTGGCCCCTAGGGATGTTGCTGAGGAGTTTTCTGGAAGGCTGTGAGAGTGGGCATGCTTGAGCTAGGAGAGAGAAGAAGGATGCTTGACCTGCTGTAACTGGGAAGGAGCCTTTGTGTGGTGGAAATCTGATTATGGATATGGATCTGGACTTTGGGTTTTAAGGGGGGGGGGGTTTACATGTTGGGGGGAATAGCCGAGTGTGGGATTAATCTGGAGCTGGCTGTCTGGGAAGAGGATGGACAAGCGTTCTTTTTTTCATTGGAGGTGGGAGGAGGCACTTTTGTTGAGTTTAGAGGAGTTTGGGTGGACTATGGGTTCTCTGAAAGAGGAGGACCCCCTTGTTTGTTGGGAACTGGGAATGGGTATATGTTGATGGATGGCTTTGGAGGATAGGGATACTGGGAACTATATCGATATATTTCTCGCCGAGATATGGACAGGACGAGAAATATGGAGGAAAGAGTCGCGTTATGGCATTCCAGTGAGCTGGGCACGGAGCCGTCCGAGGAAGGACAGGAGGGAAACATTGAAGTCCTTTGCAAAACAGCAAATGCCCCTGGGGAAATGGAAGGCTTTTTGATGTCGATGGCTTTAATTTGGTAGACAATTCCTCTCTTTGTTTCCTTTCTCTATTGTAGATAGGTAGATAGATAGATAGCATGTGCATTTCGACCTCTAGGTCAGCGGTTCTTTATTCTCATGTCCACTTGAAGACGTTTCTCCGACTGTGCTTCAACATGGATTGAAGTCTTGGGGAGCAGATATCCTGTCCTTGAGCGAGAAGGGAGCATGGGATGGGAGGAGATGCTGGGCTCGAAGGATCCGTTCCATTCTTCGACAAGATGATGTTTTGGTCGTCTATACATCTGTACACGTTCAAATTGCTTGAGCATGAGAAAGCATCTTGGTGTAGTCGAAGCCGGAATACAGCCCCTGTGTCAGAACCACAAAAGTCTCTCTAGAATTCTAAAGAGTGGTTTCGACCGTTCCGCGATGGGTTGCAAGACGGCCGGGGGATATCACCTCTACCTCTGGTTGACGGTATTTCCATAATCCTTGAGGGATATGGGAGAGGGAAAGGGGGAAGCGGCCTCATCCACAGAGACCAGCTTTCACTTTTCATGAACTCAAGATTTAATATCTCTCTCTGTCTCTCTCTCTCTCCCCCCCTTGATGGGGAGGACACCAGATTGATGGGGCAGCAGCCTAAACTTCTAGGCATCCCGGGTCAAGGCTCTCCGAGTTTTCGATACTGGCAGGCGAAGGAAAGCTTCATGAAGACCCAAGTGTGGAGGACTAGGCTCAACCTAACGCGGTTGAGATCAATGTAGCAAGGAAGCGGGCTGTGTCAAAAGAACGAAATCGACTCAGTGGAAGAAAAGACTTCTGATGGATTTAACACCAGCCCAGCCCCTTTTTCCGTGAGCTCGAAGGGAGAGGCTCCAGCCTATCACTGGCCCTGGGCGAATGAAGGACGCTGTGTACGCCGGCTTCAAGGAGGATCACTTGAACTGGGAGCTTGGCGAGACGCCGCATGTAAACCATCTCCGTCTTTCCAGCTCGGCGAAGCGCTCTCGCGGAGGGGCATAGGAATACGATTAGATCAAAATGCGGTCGTATCGATCAGTGTGTCTACTTCGGTTGCGAGCGCGACGTCTCCGCTCATGAAGCGTCCTGATCCAGGACACCCCGGCGCCTGTGATCATGGGTGTGTCGGCCAGTCTTGTCGCCCCCCTTTGGCACCCAGAGCTCTGTTCTGTCCACCTTCGCGCATCGCTCGGGCCGTAAACCGTCGAATCAAACAGGACACTAACATAGACCTCGTATCATCCGCATCTGTCCAAGGGGTAGGGGATCCGAGGTCCTCCTCCCTCCAGGTAGTCCCTCCCTAGTAACCAGGTCCCATCTTCCTCCAGAAAGACCTCAACCATAACTACCTCCTACTAATCAAAGGCCCAAGTTCCGGGAAAAAAAAAAAAAAAAGACCAAAGGGAAGACGGGGCGGGAGAGCACAAGCTCCCCCCAAGAGACACTAGAGTGGTCATCAAACACACCTCGTATTCCCCAACCCTCCTCCCATCTAAATATAGCAACATCCCCCAAAACCCCTTGCCGAACCAAGCCTCTTCAACCCAATCAACCAATCCACGTCTAATGTCGTCACTTCGTACACTTCTCCTCAGGGAGCCAGGGGAGCCCAAGTAAACCCGCATATCAATAGGTAGCATTCTGTATGTGCTTCGCGAGGGGTTGGGGTTGGGGAACACTTCACCCCCTCAGCCACGGTGACATGTCCAAGTCTTACATCCACCCTCTCATCTCTCATCTCTCATCTCACAGAGTCACACCAAGTTGAACCGTAAAAGTAAAGAACACGAATAAAGGGCCACTTAAACAAAAAGGCATGATGGAAATGTCACACCCAGCCCGGCGCTTCAATGCTATCAACTCGCTAAATATTTCCCACACTATCAACAACGGCGTTTCCAAAATAACAAAAATAAAAATAAACAATCAACACATAAAAGGCCCAACTATACAATCCGAAGCGATGACGGGTAGGTAACGGGAGACAAGCCGAGAGGAGAGCCAGAAACGGCCCCCTCTCTGTCCGTTCCCGTCCTTGCCCAACAATGCCAGGTTGCCGAAGGCCAAGATATTATATTCCTCCCAAAAAGTATGTTTGTTAGACACAGCCGTGTTCCATCCGTAGCAAGTAATCCTTCACATTTTCAATCCATCGCAAAAGGACAACAAAAAATAACAAAACATCTTCAAAGTCAAAACTTGTAAACGCCGTTGATATGCATTTTCCCTCGGGTTCAACTCCAGCAGACATTCAACAAAAAAACAAAGCAATTTCCCTTTGCTCCCAAAATGAGCAACACTGGTGAAGAACACCAAACCAAAAAGAGACCAAAAAGGGGGTTTCCAGACACAAAACCACAGCCGCCATGCAGGTCGGTGCAAAAAGATCAAATCAAATCCGTAAGGAGTGTATGTATAAAGTCTAGGGCCGATTCCAGAATTCGTTCATGAGATTCGTAAAAACAGGATGCCGAAAATGATGCTGTTTCCAGGGCGCAGTAACAAAAAAGGAGCGTCGTCTATATATATGTGTTGGGTATCATGATCCGGGAATAATCCAGTACAAAGGAGCGTAATCCGTCTCGCGGGTATCGTAAAAGGAGTGACATCAGTTGGAGTTATTAGGTAGTTAACATTAGGCTGTACCGTAGTGGTGTGTGTAGGTATCGTCGTTTTGTACAACAAGCCGTTCAGAGGTGGTTGAAAAAGGAGCGTCATCGAGTACCAGCCCCAAGTTGGGGAAGAAGCTGTATCGTTCTCGGGAAAAAAAAGTGTAATATCCAGTATTAGGCCTGTCAAAGGAGTGTCGAGGGGTGTCATGAACTGTAAGGAGTGTCGTTTGCATCCGCGTCTGTGTTGAAAAGTCGAAAAAAAAAGGGGGCACCGTATTAAACAAAAGTTCGTTTGCCGGTCGGGTGAGAGAATCGGAGTATTAATGCTGAGAATAAACCAGAAAAAAAAAGCGAAGGCCCGAAGCAAAAGCGTTTGTGCTAGAACAGAATCCAAAGGGACAAGGTGGAACGAGAGCAAAGGTCAAAAAACCAGAAAAACGTCGATGGGAATCCTAAGGCAGAGAGATGAGGTAACGCGAAAAAAGAGGTCCAAGTCGAGATTGCAGGGAGGTAGAGGTTGGCGGCCAGAGCGGAAAGATCAGATCAGGGTTCCGGCGGTCCAGTCTTGACCACGGGCTCCGATGAGCTTCGGTGGTGTTGCTGAGTCGAAACATCACCGGTAAAGGGCAGAGGAGAATCGGGCAATGGAATCATTCCTGCGAGATCAGGCAGAAGAAACGGAGAAGCAGCAGCGCTATACGACAACTGGTAGGAAGCAGTTGTCATATCGTCCGGTGGTGCAAAAGTTGGCGTCGTAGACATCCTGGACGGTTCTGGTCAACCCCACGTTATTATTCCAAACCGATAAATAGGTTAAAAGGGAAATGAGAAAAAGATATCCGCTGGTAAGTGGCCCGCATTCTAGACATCCCATAAGAGAACCTAGAACTTAGATCCACACGGCTTGATGGATGGGAGTGACAAACCCGACGCCAAGATTGCTGTTGCTGGGACCACCATAGACGGGAGGCATTCCGCCAAAGTCAAAGGTGCTGCCATAATCCTCCGTGTCGCTGTACGTGAACGATCCCTCGAAGGTCGAAGAAGCCGGACTGAGCCCACCGGTAGCGTATGATGGAGACGGGATATTCAGGTACTGCGGGTTGTTGAACGTGGATGACGACAGCATCAGCGGACTTACCGCCGCGCTGCTAGTCGCCGTGGCACCCGCAGCCTCGGTCGTGAGCATGGGCAGTGACTCGGTGCTGTAGCTGAAAGCAGGGCTTCCGTAGGCCAAGTAGGGTCCAGACACGGGAGGAATGGGAACAGGGGCATCGCCGACGTAGAAGTTGGGAGGGTTGAACTGCGGGAACGAGGGCGTGCGAGCCGGGTGCATCCATCCCATCCTAGACCGGAACTCGTTGACGGTCTCGATGGGGAACTCCATGAGCGTAAGTGGGGTCTGGGCCTCCTTGGCTCCGCGGTTGTTGATGGCGAGGAGCCTGCGTGCAATGTCCTCGACCGGCCCGAGAGTGAGACTACCGAAATACGCAGCGCCGATTTCCGGGAAGAGCCTCTCCATGAGCAGAGCCACCGTGTAGTAGTGGGCAATGGTCACGAGCGAGTTGGCCGATCCGCGAGAGTCCTTCAGGTACTTGACGGGAAGCCAGAAGAGCCACGTCCTCAGAGGTCGCAGCCGCTCAAACTGCTGGGCGACAGAGAGAGTAGGGCTGACCTTGCGGGATCCCTTGAGGAAGGTGATGAGCTGCTGAATGGACTTGAAATCGTGCTTTCCCTGCTTAAGGTAAGCCTCGACCTTTTGAAGCTGCTGAAGCGTTCGCTGGTATGCATCGATGTCCTCCTTGCTGGGTTGGTTGGGCTTGTGGTCAGGAGTGGGCGAGGGAGGTGCCGTGGGGAAAGTGCTGCTCTCGGCGATGAATTCGCCAAACTGAGACTCGTGCTTCCACGGCTCCATGGCATCAATGACCTAAAATGGCTACTGTTAGAGACAAAATTTGCGTTCTGCATCGTTTCAGGGCACGGGAGGACATGGGGACCATAGAGTGACTGAAAGACGATGATCAGCCACTTACCGAAGAGGTTCCTTGCATGAGCTGGGTCCAGCTACGCCTTCACGAACAATACTGTTAGCATATGAATGAAAATGGGGTAGGCTACGGCAGCTTGCATAAGTGGGTGGCGGGAGAGAAATACTCACCAATCTGTGGCCTGCCACGAGAGGACAAGAGAAGCTGCGAGAACGGCATCCGACGTCTCACGAGAGAACGAGCCGATGGCCTCCTGCAGACCCTTGAGAGCGACACCGCGGTGCTCGTAAGCCATGTTGCCGACGAGAGGGCAATCGGTGAGGAAGGCAATGTGCATGGCGGAGAATGCCAACAGGGAGTGCATGACATATCGATTGGTGGCACCGATTTGGAGGATGCTGTCCAATGTTAGTTACTGAAAAAAAAATTCACTAAGAAGCCTCGTCTGTCTCTTGAAACTTACATTGGCATCTGACGGGTCCAAATAGTAAAGTTGTTGGCATCAATGGCATCGAGCTCACTGCAGATCGAGGCAACGTGGTGGATCAACCTCAACTCCTCGACGGTGTAAGTCTGAGGAGAGGGAGCAGGGTAGATGTTGAGATTGGTGAATGGGAAGATGCCGGTGCGTTGCCACTGCTCAATGTCGGCCTCGATCTGGGGTGTCCACATGAGATCAGGCTTGTCGGGGCTGCCAGCACGGTTCTCGGGAACGGGCATGTCATTGTAAGGGCATCGGATCTTGTGCTTAGTGCAATTGCGGCACTGGGGGAAGCTCTCGTCACATCGGATGTGGCGACGCTTGCTGTATCTCTCGTGTTAGTCGAACCGGGACCAGCACACACGTCTTTCCAACCTCCTTCTCGGGACCCGACCAGAAATCAACTTACCAAGTATCACAGCCCTTCCGCGACTTGGTGTGGCTGCGACGAGGGGGACCACCGCCGGGACCAGCCATCTTGAAACTTGTTTGAACGAGGTTTCGAACTTGGATGAAGAGAAACTTGGACGTTTGAAGAGAAACACACGACAATGGGCCGGACTGTCGTGTGCTACGAAGCGAGTGATTTTCGAAGATTTGGGTTGTGTGCCTTTAGGGTAGCGATCGAACGAAGATTATTTGACGTATTCGAGGTGAGTTTGCGTCTCTCTTTTTTCCTTCCTTTCTTCCGCTTCGTGAGCTATTACGGGGTTGGATTTCTAGAGAGGTCTTCCGTGAACTTTTCTTTTCCCTTTCCTTCTTCTTTTTTTTCCTTTCCTTTCCTTTCAACTGCAACTGTAGCGATCGTAGGGTGGATAGTAGAAATCGGAATTTCCACGTCTCCTTTAAGCGAATGTGGGTGGTTTTTGGTTTTATAAAAAGAAAAAAAGACTTAGAGTCACCGAAGCATTTCGGAGGGAACACTAGGTAAACTGGTCCTAAACTGGTCCCTTTTACGTCTTCGAGGCTTCTTCCTTTCTGCACAATATACACCGACGAGCGAGTGAGCCGGTGGATACTGTGAATTCGATGTCGGGAGGAGGCGTTGAACGTTAAATCGGAGTCTGGTGTCTTTTCTTCCTTCCTTTCTTCCTGCGTTGATTCCTTGACTTGACTTGTCAAATTCTCGAGACGATCGGTATTCAGGTTCGAGAGTTGCTCAGTTGTTGTTGGTCTTGTCGTTCTTCAGGTCTTGCTATCTTGGGTAACTTGATCGATACTCTTTTCGGACTAGTTTCGATGATGATGACGAGTAGACGAGAAGAAGAGGCTTCACGCAACACACGCACACACACACTTTACAAACAAAGAAAAAGGGAAAATTGGTTTATTCAAGCGAATGACAGGAGTCGACGAGGACTTCCTCAGAAAGTGGTTTTGGGGGGGGAGAGCGAATGTGGTGGAAAAAGCGTTGGAGCGATTGTTGGATCTTGTCTTGGTGGGAGGAAGAAGGAAGAGGGGAAGAGGAAAGGGCTGAGGCGGCAACATGGGCCCCCCAGGTTAATATGTACTTAGAACCACATTTTCCCAGACGCACGCCCATGCCGCAAAATCTCACACGCCCCCCCTTGTCTGTCCCCACCCTTCCTTCATGGTCGCCCCTCCCTTTCAAGGCTCGCCCCCCTCGCGCTTCCTCGGTCGCTCAGGACCCGCCGTTGATGGCTGAGACCGAGCCCTATCGCCTGTTAGTAACCGGCGCCGTGCAGACAAGTACACTCCGTCCGAAGACTGAGGAAAGGTACACTACCGGTAGAGTTTCCGGTGCAGGTATCAATCCATACTAGCCATCAATCAGTGCTAGTGGTGTCAGACTTACCAGCAAACTACAAGCCAAGGATCCCGCTGCGACTTTGTCCTTCAGGGCACTGTGGTTTCCACCCGCCTCGCTGGCTCTGCTGTAACAGAAGAGAGAGCGCAGTGGCATGCTAGATCACTGGACGCGGCTTTCTCGGTCGAGAGTAACCTAAAGTGGGCTGTACTCCTCGTTCAAGGACTGCATCAAAGCCTCCCTGGCTGCCAGACACTGTCCCCGGCGTCCCCCGCCTCTAGGATTCCTCGGACGGTGGTATTTCCCGCTTCTCGCTCCGCGCCCTGCCTATTTCTTTACCACGCTCCACTATATGCTCGCCACAAAATATCACTGATCAATCAGTGCCAATGCGAGCTGCTTCTGCTCACACTACTCCGTACACACTAATACCCGAGGCATCCTTGTACCGACAGACCACGAGCTCCACTCACCCTCTGTCCCCGCTCACACATCGCTCCACCTTTTCCCACCGATAATGAGCCCCCCAAGCCCAGGGATCCTCGTTCTGACTAAACAGAAGCAGAAAGGTCCCCGGCGATGAGGTTTATTTTTGGGATCGAGGAACAAAAGAGGCTGGCCTCGGCTCTTGGAAGAAGGGCTTGGAATGACAATGCACTCGTATTAGAGTTGTTGCCGGGTGGTTGGGCCGATATCAAGCTCTCAACAACATTCAATCAGTATGTCCTTAGTCCCAAAGGTTAAGGACGCACACAACAGCCAAGAGAGGAAAGGGCCGGCAAGGGGGTGGCAGGTGGGAGGTGGGAGAGGAGCAAAAAGTCCAGGCATGATGTCGACGGTTTCTATTTTTGCCATGGTACCCTAACTTGGGACCAGGCCTAACTAAACCTTGGGGTTGGCGTCAGGTCCGGTTGGCTGCTCTAGTGTCTTCACTAATACTTGATTGATGTCACCGACCGAGCCGAGAGCCCATGAACTGATATCACCTTTTCCACTGTTTAGTAGTACATCAGGGTACCCCTTGCTGGTAGTGCAAGAGTTGGCCCAGCCGTGCAGGAAATTGCCTTGATCCATCACAGATAACTCCTCGGGGCCTGATCCGATGCATCGACTGAGTTCAGTGATGCAGCAAAACAGGACTGAGGTCAAAGTCAACGCTGAAACATTCCCAACCACCCTTTCTCTCCAAAGGAAAATAGTAAAACAGAATCAAACACTAGATAAAGAAAAAGAAGAAAAATTAGGGAACAAGTTGGCTGGCCTAAAAAAATAGAGAGCTCACCACACACTCACCCTTCCACCACAGAAACCCCCCGAAGAAGAGTATTCCCACGCATAAAAAAAAAAAAAAAAAAAAAAAAAAAAAAAAAAATAATAATAATAATAATAATAATAATAATAATAAATAAAATAATAAGAAAAAAAGAGGTCTAAAAAAAGCGCCGAGGCACGGTTCGAAGCCCAGAGCCACCTGAGAAGAACACCATCCTCTGAAACCAGTCACCAGACAAAAGGGCCTGTGAGCTGGAGCCAGCGAAGGGGGCGGTGTAAAAAAAAAAGCCCACAGCCAATCCCAACCCCATCCAACCAAATCGTCGCCGGTGGACGATGGAATCATTTCTGTCTCAAAGGGAAAGATGCCAAGGATGGGCCAAGATCCACACGTGGCGGCAGCGGAATTTGGGAGAAATTTGGGAGAATTTGAGGCGGAGCAAAGAAAGGATCAATCAATTGTTGTGTCTGACAACCAATCTCGAGCCGAGCCAGTGAGGGCTAGGTACACTACTAGGGCCTGGCCTGGCCTGGCCACACCAAGAAACCTCAACTGTTCTGGTTGTCTGCAACAGAGTCGCGCTGGTAACCAGCCCTCTGTTGGATCAATTGATGTAGTGACTTCACTGTTGGACTTGCCGCCGTCGGTCGGTTGTAAGCGGCAAGCGAAGCGGGCGGAAACCAACCAGCTTCTCAGACAGGCTGGGCAGCACCCTGCCTCAGTTCACCACTAGTACTTCGTACTCCATCACCACTAGTACTTCGTACTCCATCACCACTAGTACTTCGTACTCCAGCGTACTTAGGTGGGCATCAAATCAACTGTTCTCTTCCGGATCCCGTCAATTATCGTCCGCATTACATGCAGACTTCAAGCACGTCGCACCGACCGACACCGACGGTGCATCTCACCCATAGGCTCATTCATCCCTTCTGCCTCTTCGGCCAACGCAGCACATTCCACTCCATCGTAACGTAGCTCCCACACATTCTTTTAATTGCAGCCCGACCCATCATTAAATGATTCCACGGCGAATCAACAATCCAGGAGACAGCTTACCCCAGGTAGCATCCAACCCCAAAAATAGACAGAATCAAGTGGCGGGAGAGTCCGACGAAGAGAAAATTCGGGACAGAAAAAAAAACAATGCGGACACAAAACCAACGCGATCCCCACACGCCCCATGCACGACATGGTCCGGTCCAGTGCGAGTCTGGTGGAAGAAATAGGGCCATAGAGCCGAGAGTGGCATCAACACTGTCAACCCAGACGAACCCAGTGACGTTATGGGTTCCGAACCGGTCCAGCTCGTGCCCTCTTCGCGCTGGCGACTGAGGTCATAGTGTCCTGCCAGGACGAAGCACTAATATGCACTACCACTAGTTTAGTTTTTGGAGCTGACATTCGCCAGAAACGGAAAAAAAACAGGGCCCCCATCTCTCTTCTTTTGCCTTTGCGCGGTCGATTCTCCTCTCGAGCTAGACAGTAGGTGTCATATGTCTCCAGCCTTTAGCTCGAGCCTTGGTTCGAAATCGAGCAAGGTCGGGTTGATATCAATATCAAATCTCCACCTTTCCGACTTTGGGGAAGTTGGTGGAGCCGGTTCATGTTCAATGAAGCAGGGCAAAGAAGAAAAAGTCAATATGTAACCACGCGCTGTGACAGGAACAGGAAACGGAACACAGAAAAGAAAAAAGAAAATTCAAAGGAAAAATCTCACCTTCCTCTACCCACTTCCCCCGATTCGCCTCAACAAGTCTGCCCATACCGTGATATAAGCTTCAAGTCTCTCAGTAATAGTGACACCGATACAATCCAACACCTACCACACCCGCCACTCCCCCCATCCAAGGCACAGTACACCAAGTCGTCGTCAGCAGAAACATTGGTCTCTGCTGTGTACCCCCCATCGCGGTCCTATCCCAGCCAGTGCGAGCCGGCGTGAGCCATCCATGTCAACCTAGGAGGATCAAGACCACTCTTCTTGTGCGCCTATGCATGCACAGGCAGGGTCGGGAGACGCTGTAACGTGCCAGTCGCTGGTCGGTCACAGCCTCTTCTTTTTCCATTCCTTTTGCAACAAATCATTGAACCAAGACCCAACGAGACACTCACCTGACACTCAGGTCCTGTTTATTGCAAGGGTAATCTACTCCGTACATTTTGACCATGCGTAGAATTCTCGTCTCACAAACAATGAACGCCAACCAATATGAAGCGATGAGTATCTATTCCCTGCCCCGACTCAGGTGGTAACTTCGAGCCCTTCTCGTCACCTGCCAGCCTGAAAGAAGAAGAAGACCTTCTCCAAGGCTGGTTGGGTTGGCGAAACTTCCCCAATCAACGAAAATTAAATTGCTTTTTTTTCCACCACACGGCCCGCGATGCGGTTTTGACATCTGCATCTATCTGTGGTGTAGACCCGAGTAATCTTTC